ACGTCTATACAACGAAAGGAGACTGCGACCACACAAAAGGCCACACCATCTTGGTCTTCATACCTTCAATCAGTAGATAATTTATATGTGTTTAAAAATGAAAAAAAGTAACGTAATAGCCTGCTAGAGAATGTGATATGGAAAAATGCCTGGCTTTCGTTGAAATTAACATATGCTCTGTGACTCAGAGGCATTTGTGGCAATGTGGGGTAGTGGTCAACGTTTCGAGAAATATACTCTGCACTTCCATGGTTCGAGTCCCGCTGGTGGTGCTGATGAGACCAATGTATGCAAGATGGCAAATGCAATCCACTCCTGCCTGGGTGAGAATAGCTTTTGGGAAAGCATAAAGCATAAGTTCTACTTATATCTTCATCACTTTAATCGAAATAGGCTGAAAACATCTCATACATGTGGACTTTATGTGTCGCTTTGACGAGTTGTCGATTGGCGACAAGACTGGCAAGAGTCACTACAATTCTGTCAAAACGTTGCTGAATGTATCCAATCCACGGTTGGAAGCTGAAACTCCTCATGACTATGCAATTCCACGCTGTTGAAACGAGGACAGGCCACTTCAATCATTCTTCCCATCACCCCTAGCAGCGTAGACTGACTATGCAATTCGTCGTAACTAAAGGCAAGTGAGGCCCAGCAACCCCAAGACCTCGGGACGCCTACCAAAAGACTCGGCTTCGTGGCGCCACACCAACCGGTCGGCACAAATCCGCAACCGGGCAGGGCGGTGGCCAGACGAGCGGATCGCGTCGGCGTCGGCGTCGGCCGTCTGTCCGCCAGTGCGTCGGGCTCGCCGTTGGACTGCGGGTCGAGCAGCGCCGAGGGGCCGGAGGAGGCGAGTCGAGTCGAGAGGGAATCGGTCCTGGCCCCGTCGACACCGGCGGAAGAGGTGAAGGTGTCGCCCTCGGACTGACCGGCCGAGGTTGAGCCGTCGCGGCGATGCGTCTCGTCAAGTCGTAGTTGCGCTGACAGAGAGAAAGATGGTGCTCTGCAAGAGTTGGCGGAGTAGGCGTCTGACCCGTCGACGTGGTTGTCGGGCGTCAGTGACTCGGTGCAGACTCGTAAAGCGGGCTGAAAAGTGGCCACTTGTGGGTGGACCGACTTCAGGGCGCCCGTGTAGATGCGTCGGCGCTGGAGGAGTTCGGTTGCTGGCGGGTCCGTCCAGAGGTGATCGTTGAGACGCAGTCTCGTGTAGTCAAGGGTGCAAGGACCGTCTGAAGAAAGGGAAACGGGCCAAGTGGAGAAACAGATAAAAGGGATTGCAGCACGGTAACACAGTCTGCCCTACGCGGTAATCCTCCTTCGGTTTTGGATGGATCCAACCAACATTCCCGTCTAAACGGATCTACAAGACAATGAAGGGATCCGGATTGGAGGCCCGAGTCGGATAAGCCGATAGGAAGAGAG